CTCATTCTTTGTGCAGGTATTGAGTTGAAGAGTGAGGTTGAAGACCCATGGGATTGGAAATCTAAGGAGCTAAGGAGCAGGAGAAGAGTATTCACGCCAGGCGCAAGACTACCCGAGCCGGGTATGTACAACACAGAGAGCAACTCACTTTGTATTTTAGTAGGGCGTCGGGCGCAAGAACATCCGCGTCGGGTGTAGCTCACGACAGAGAGTACTTGAACTCTCTGGAAGACACGCACCTGGCATAATAGTGCCTGAGCCGGGCACCAATCGAGATAGAGAGCTCTCTGGAAGACCTTGAGTTGAGCACGAAATATCCACGTCGGGTGTGATGGGAGACAAAGAGCAATTACCTCTCTAGAAGACCCCTGCGCCGGGCGCAAGGTATAACGCGCTGGGCGTGTAAACCCTATCTTGTCTCACTCAGCTCGTATTTGATCAAATCTTCGAGGATTCTCCCCTCATTCACACATTGGGCGACTTCTAAGAGCTGTGGAAGGGATTCTCAGTGCTTGGGACCGTTCGTGTGTGGGTCTTTCCTTCGGTTCTTCCATCTCTATTTTTGTTTTACCTTCATTGTTTTGAGCGGTTCTACCCATTATTTTGTGGGGTTAGATGTAACCAAGGAAAATCTCTTGTAATCTTCACTTTATTAATGATATATATGTTGTTTCATTCATTTGTTGTGTTATGTTTCTATTGTTAATGCTTGCTTTGGATTGATCCTCCTTTGCTTGATATAGAGTCTATTGGGTATTAGAAAATAGCCTTTTGAACTAGCTCTGAAAGAAATACCTAGTGGGAAATGTATCTAGGAATGGAGTTTGGCCCATTAGTAGTCTTAAACCCTAACTCGTAATTCTATTTGATTGATTGTATACTCAATTAATTTATATTCACTATCTACACCAAGGCTCTTGCTCTAAGGGATTAGGTTTGAGTAAACTTATGGGTTGACTAGGCAATGAATGTAACAAGAGAACAAAGATTCATTAGTGTGAAGTTTGGTTTTATCTAACCCCACAATTTTACAAAATCACAATATCATTTCTATCCCTTCCACACACACATACAAATAGTTTTATAGGTTTTAACATTCCAATAGTCATAACCTTTATTTGAATTGCATGACAACCTATGGAAAATTGGAATTATTTTTTAGTCACAAATAGTCATTAAGTGCTTATTTTACCTACTAGTCCATGTGGATATGATTTAAATTTACTACTTGAACAACCGGTATACTTGTCGTGTTTGAGTCCGTTGATAGAATAAAAAAATGATTTATAACAAAGACAGAAACTAATGTCAACGAAAATCTTAACAAAAGTCCGGAAAGAGAAAAGAATGAAAAAAAGAAAGAAACGGTGAAATGATAAAAGATCTTGAAAGATTCAAAAGTAGGAAGAGAAAGTTCATGCAAAAATTGTCAAAAAAGAAATCAAATAAAATGAGAGATATTTAATATGTAATGCATGTAGGACTACGTAAAGAAACTACAAGAAACGCATACAAGTAGCAAAAAATAATGAGAAACGTACAAAAAGATACGTAAAATCAATCATGATGAAAAAGAGGTGAAAAAAAATCCTACAACAATTACGGGAAGAAGAAATGATTATGAGAGAGAAATCAGAGAAGTGACTACGAGTTTAATTGCTCACACAGGAGGACAAGACTCTCATGAACGAAGAGAGAGAAAGCTCTCACAGGAATATGTGATAAAAGTTAACTACAAAATATTTGTTTCAGAATAAAAAAAGTTATTATGCATTTAAATTTTAAATAAGATAAAAAAATTAAAAAATAATAATGTATGTATTTCAAGTAAATCAAGAAAAAAACGTAAGTTGTTACTAACTTCTTTTTGAATATTTTACATTTTATATTTTTACTTTTTCTAGTTCTATTCATATTTTGAGGTTTCACTTTACCTCTAATATATTTTAAAGTGTGGAAGAGTGAAATTGGAAAAAAAAAAACTTCTTCTTCCATCTCTAGTCCTTCATGTTTCAATAGCTAAACTATATATTTAAAGTGATCTTTGAGGTTAGTATATTTAAAGTTATTGTTTTTATATTAATTTATGAGAATTATTTTTAATTTTCAATGACAAATTCAATATTTTAATTTTTATCTACTCATTTTATTTTTATGTTTAGAAGAAACATTATGTTATGAACATTACATTAATTAAAATTATATTGATTTTAGTTGTAGTAATGGAAATGTATTTTAAAAGAAAATCATTTTCAGAGCAATCGTCTTCTCCTCAAATACATGTTAAAAAGAAGTCAAATTGGGTCCATCTACCAAGAAAAGATTTTTAGAATGTGATTTGGAAAAGCTTCTTGACCATCCTTGTCTAAGGCAAAAAATTTCAAATTATCTTCCAAGTGATAGAGATGAAGTTGGAAGATATTATCTGTAAAAGGGCCCTTGACAACCAAAAGAAATAAATTTTTCACAAAGACAATTTGGAGATACCATTAGTAAATTTAATCCAGATTGGTATTTAAAATATGGAAGTTGGTTAGAATATAGCCAAAAAGAGGATGCAACATATTGTTCATATTATTATCTTTTGAGATCACATGTTGGGGGAACATAAAGATAGTGGTGATGTATTCATAACAGAAGGTTTTACAAATTGGAAAAAAAAAGTGAGAGGTTTCAAATTCATGTTGGAGGTCCAAATAATTTTCATAATCAAGCATGAAGGAATTGTCCATCTTTGATGAAACAAAAACAACATATTGAAGTTACAATGTGTAAGTAGTATGATCAAACTAAAAAGGAATATCAAATTCATTTGATTGCAATTGTTGATTATATTCGATTCTTATTATGTCAAGGATTAGCTTTTCATGGTAATGATGAGTCAATGTTATCAAGTAATAAGGAAAATTTTCTTGAACTTTTAGATTTCTTGTTGACCACAACGAAGTTATTCATAAAGTGATAAAAAATGCTCATGGAAATCTAAAATTGATAGCTCTTACAATACAAAAAGATATTGTTAGATTTGCTGTTAGTGAAACTACTAAATCTATACTTGATATTGTTCATGTTTCTAATACTAATGCTTTATCATTAAAAATAGCTTTGGAGTCATTGTTTTCAAAATATGGATTAAATTTATCAAGGTTGCGTGGACAAGGATATGATGGAGCAAGTAATATGCAAGGTGAATTTAATGGTCTCAAGAGCTTGATATTAAAAAAGAACTGTTTTGCATTTTATATTCATTGTTTTGTTCATCAACTTCAATTAACTCTTGTTACAGTGGCAAAAAAAATATGTTGAGTTGCATTATTTTTTAACTTGGTTGCTAATATTTTTAATGTTGTTGGAGCATCATGTAGGTGTTGAGATATTATTCAAGAAAGTCAAATTGCAAAGGTGAAAAAGACATTGCAGAGCGGAGAAACTCTAGTGGATGTGGCTTGAATCATGAAACTACAATCAAGAAGGTGGGAGATGCTAGATGGACCTCACATTATGGTACATTACTTAGTCTACTTTCCTTGTTCCCTTCTATGATTGATGTGCTTGAAATAGTTGAGGAAGATGGCATAAGTTTAGAGCAAAAGGGTGAAACATGTGCTTTATTGAATTCTATGCAAACTTTTGAATTTATTTTCACCTTGCACTTGATGGAAAATATTTTAGGGATTACTCATGAGTTATCTCATGCATTGCAAAGAAGTGATCAATATATTGTAAGTGCTATGAAATTAGTTTTAGTGTCCAAACAAAGATTACAAGCAATGAGAGATGATGGTTGGTCTTCTTTGCTCAATAATGTTTCATCATTTTGTAAAAAACTTAACATTGTGGTTCTAAATATGAATGAAACTTTTGAAACACAAGGAAGGTCAAGGCTCAAAGTAGAACAAGTTTCTAATCTACACCATTTTCAAGTTCAATTATTTTTTTAAGTGATTGATCGACAACTCCAAGAGTTAAACAACCATTTAACAGAAGTAAATACTGAGTTGCTTCTTTGTGTAGCATGCTTAAATCCAAGAGATTTATTTTGTACATTTGACAAAGAGAAGTTGATTCATTTTGCTCAATCTTATTGTTTTGAATTTTTCTCCTATTGAACTTTTGTGATTGGATAACCAATTTGAAAATTATTTCACAACTATATGTTTTGATGGTGCTTTTTCAAAATTAGAAGGGATTGATGATTTTTTTATGAAGCTTGTGGAGACAAGAAAATATGTTGTATATCCGTTGGTGTATTTACTTTTAAAGTTAACCTTGATACTACCAATGACAACTATATCAGTTGAAAGAGTTTTTTCTGTTACGAATATCATCAAGAATTAGATGCGAAATAGAGATGAATGATTAAATGATTGTTTAGTTACTTACATAGAGAGAGAGATTTTTGGTAGTATTAAAAATGAACAAATCATTTAATGTTTTTAAGTTATGAAAACCCACAAAAAATAATTATGAAATGTATTTGTCTTTATAAAAATTTTATTTTATATTTTAAACACCATAAATTTATGTATTTAAATATTATTTTCACTACTTAAAATTTTTGAATTTGTCACTAAATCAACGTAAAGGTTATTATGTGGGAGCTGAGAGACACATGTCTTTGCGCTCCATTTTGGTTCAATTATTATTATAAGTATTAATGAAAAAAATATAAATAAAAGTCCTAAAGAAAATTATAAATAAAACTCCTAAAGCAAATTTTTGAACATACGCTGAAATTTGGAGGGAGAAATTTTAATCACAATCCCCAAATATTGAAGCAGATAAATTAAATTATAGAGATTTGCTATATACGATTTTAGGAACAAAGCTATTGCAGTGTGGGGTTGAGCCGTTGAGGTAGATTTTATTTATTTATTTATAATATTTAATTTATTTTATGAAGGCAGTGGGTTGGGCCTTCACTGCTCGAGTGAAGCCCAATTAGTTGGACCCTATATCCTACATGAGCTGCTATTTTATTATTATTTTGTTATATTCTTCCTCTGCTGTGCTGGGTATGGAGTATAGTGTTGAAAGACCGAGGAAGGAAGAAACAGTGATGGAAGAGGCAGAGGAGGAGCAACGTCGTCGTTTAAAGCTCGAAGAGGCCCTTGAAATCCAATCCCTCAGACGCATCATTAGTGCTTACCTCAAGTATTGCTCCTTCCCTTCGGTTTTTAAAATGCCCATTCAACCATCTTAGCCAAAATACACTGTTACTTTTTATTTTATTTTATTTTTCAATAAAAGATTTAATAGCAACCGCAAAATGTTCCCCAAAGAAAAAACAAGTGAAGGAGTTTTTATTTATTTATTTTTCTACTTCACCGTTTGGTTTTATTTTCGTGTGTCAAGTGAAAATAAACATGTAGTTGATTGGAACGGTTTCACTGCATAGTCGACCCTGATCATCTAAACCCATAGCAAGAAACCGTTTGTTTTGTTGCAAAGTCTTTATTTATTATTTATTTATATAATTTTATGAATTATACAACATAGGGCGCGATAAATCGTTGTGCAATTATTAATTCTCTGGTTTGGAGGAAACAAAGCTTTTATTTTTCACTTTTGCTTTTAAATTTTGTCGTTGTTTTATTTGGTTTTGTAAGTTTTCTGTCTGCTATTGCTAATGTTATTGCATCAAATTAAAGTAACGCTTCTTATTTGAAATTCAAATGCACATACAGCCATAAGTGTCCAAAATACTGTTGAACTTTTTAAATGTATTCGTAAAGGTTGTTATATTTTGTTTGTTTATTAAATTTTTGTGTGATAATATATATAACTTTTTGTTTCTATCATAATATTATCTTTAAAAATTATGTCCCTAGTAATACTAGAGCCTAATCTTTCACTTACTTGTTCTGATACAGCTATCCGGATGCTGCAGAAGAGGATGTTAGAAGATATGAGAGGTCTTATAGGAAGCTTCCACCTGCCCATCAGGTATTTTTGTCCTCCGCTTTTGCTTTGTATTCTGGTAGGCACGACTTTGATGTTTGATTGTTCAGTTTCTTATGGGTTGATGGTGCACTGTTTCTTGTTTCTGGCGGCACTATCAGACTTGTTTTGAACTGTGGCACCAGTCTCTAAGGCCTCACAGAATAGGATAAAACTTGGATGCAATTCCTTTAGTGTTTTTGGTGTTAGTTTTTCAATTGGAATTGGTGTTTCATCTTTGTAAATTATGCTCAACCTATTATGCTAACATTTATTATGTGGATTGCTGAATGAGGTGGAACTATAATTCTAACGGGAGAATAGTGCTAGAAACATCTAAAGAATTGAATCTAAGTTTTTTCCTAGAGTAGTGTTATTACCTCGGTATAACATTGTTATGTTTGACTTGTTTCGTGTTGAAGATCGCACAACGCACATCAACTAAAGATAAGATCATAATAGTGTATATAAGTGGAGATCAATCCTCACCTTACTACCCAGTTTTTTAATGTTGAGTTACGCTTCTAATCCACTTTCTTAAGATATATCAAAGCCTATATCCTAGTAATTATTGATTTTTGCTTGGCATATTGTGCCACTCACTATCGGATCACTTGCAAATGTTTAGTCATGCAAACTTCACGTTTAAGATGTTTAGTCTTCGATGTGAGAGATGTGTGTTGGAGATCTTATATCAACTAAAAATAAAGATAAACTAGTGTATATAAGTGGGAAACAATTCTTATGTTATTAGCCGATTTTGTAAGGTTGAGTTAGACTCCTTATTCACTTTCTTAAGATTGCTTCTTCCTAAGCTTCAGCAAGATGGTACTCTTTGGCTAATTTAGACTGCATGGTTAGAGTTTGTTGAGCTTGTCTCTAGTCTAGGATCATGCATGAATTAACTAACCACACTAATTGCATATGCTATGTTAGGCCTTGTGTGGGATGAATAGTTGAGCCTTCTCCACCTTTGGGTTCTCCACATCATTCCCAATCTTGTGATTTTTCTCTATGGGCGCTCCAGGAGTCTTACAACCCATCTTACTTTGAGGATATCAAGGATATGTTTCCTTTGAGAGATAAAGATACCTTGCTTTGAGTAGGTAGTTTCAATCTCAAGAAAATACTTTAGCTTCCCTAAATCCTTCCTTTCAAATCAAGCAGCCAAACTCTCCCTTAGAATCTGTTTTCAAGCTCATATCTCTTGCAATAATTATATCATCTACATATACCAAAAGTAGTGTAAGTTTTCCATCTTGAGCATGTTTTATAAAGAGAGTATGGTCATCTTGACTTTGCCTGTATCCCAAGGTTACCATAGCCTAAGTGAACCTTCCAAACTAAGCATGGGGAGACTGTTTGGGTCCATACAGGGCCTTTTTTAGTCTGCAAACCTTATTCCCTCCAGGTGGAATCTCCATGTATGATTCCTCCTCCAAGCTTCCATGTAAGGATGCATTTTTAACATCAAATTGATGCATCTCCCAAACAAAGTGTGCTTCTGAGGAAAGAATGTTCCTTATTGTATTCATTTTTACCACCAGTTTGGGGTAGCAGTGGTGCGAACTGCGGATGGACAGCAGCAGTGGTGACTGGGCACGAAAAATGAATAATTGCATCAATGAAGGCTGCCAAGAAGGGCGGCACTTTAGACAGTTAAATGTAGAAGAAGAGCCCCAGGATTGGGAGGCCTGATACCAACTTGAAAAAGAAACTGAATATTATTCTCATTCTAATTGATTGGGAGCCCCAGTACGCATATGTAGACTTCCTATTGCCAAATTAAGGAAATAACAAAGGGAATTAAAGCTTTACGAGTCAAATCTGTTTTAAAAATAAAACAGCACTAATTAAGGAAGAAATATCCCCTAATTATATCACACAACAATATGTATGTAAAAGAGAAACAACAAGACAAACACTTGATGGATCCCTTCTTGGATGGGTTGCCACTTGGTTTTGATTCAGTCCAAATTTCAATATGGCTGGTTATTGACACTCAGGGAATGAGACTGGTTGAATCCTGCTTTCTTTCTTTTGTGCAATAGAGCTAATATGGACAGAATTGTGTGACTTATCAACCTAAAACTGTGTAAATTTATTCTTTATGCTGTATTTATTACAGACATTATAGATCTTAATCTACTTCCTAAATTAGAGCACTGATTGACTGTACAGTGTCAAACAGTATAATTCAGAGTTTCCACAGTTCTTTAGTTGTTGTCTTATAATTTCTTCTAGCAATTTCTTTCATTCTTATATGCCCATGTTTGCTGAAACCTTTTTTTTTTTTTGTGGGTGTATCTGTAGGCTTTGTTATCCCACTATCCTCAAAAGTTCCAAAGATTACGCTGGTACATTTTACTTTCTCTTTTTTCTTTGCTTTTATAATTTCTCTCTTTTTATAAACTTACAATGAAAAAAAAAATATTGAGACTTCTATTTTGATGCTAATGGCGCTTTATATGTGGAGCAAGGGATAATTTGAACTTCCTGCATCACTAGTTTCATAGATGATTTTTGTTTCCTATCAGAAAAGGCATTTCGGGAGGATTAAATAATTTTAGTTTTTGAGCATAGTAGTTGAATTGGGATACAAATAGTGTATTGGAAAGCCTATTTTTTGAATCGCAAGTCGTAAGATTCATGATCAATAAAAACATAGTGCATATATATATATATATATATATACACACACACCCAATACACACACACACAAGACATATAAAAGCACTCTAGGCACATTTTAACATAAAGAAACATGAAAATGAAATCATTCATAAATATATAGTAGCATATAAGCTTCAGTACAGACAAATATATAAATAATAACAATCACAAAGGCCAAATAAAGTGGCTGCACAATTAAGTAACTGTGCCTCCAAAAGAACCATTGTTGTTGCTGCATAAATGCATATAACAGTGGCTATTTGCTGCTCTGATTCAGCAATATAGCCACCCAAAAAAATATTAGTGTTGTTGCTGCATAAACTCAGCAAACACTGGTGCTGCTGCCACACAAATTCAGTCATACAACCTCAAAAAATAAACACAAAATGCCCCTATCCAAGATCATTCATCATCCCCAACCCCAAGATCTACATCACTCAAGTCATCTTCATCTTCCAAAATCAAAATTTCTCCCCCACCATCATCTTCAATTTCATCCTCATCTTCTATTTTTTATTTTATTTTTTATTTTCTCTTCTTATCAGTCTTGGCCTTCAAGTTTCTTGGACCTATATAATCAAAAGAAAATATTAAAGTCTAGCTCTAATTCCAACTTCCAAGTTCTAAACTAACTTCTAAATATAAATAATTACCTTTCTTCCTTTTCTTGTTTGGAATCCCTCGTCAACACCAAAGCACTCATGTACATCCATCCATAAGGCATCAATAGGCAAGCAAGGATTCTCCTTTTCGGTGATCCATTCATCATCAGATTCAATATCTGACAAACATATGGGATCATAGGTATCTCCATTCTCTTCTCTACTATTTTGCCTCATCTCAAGTTGAAGATTATATTTGACATATACAAGTGCATTTAATCTTTGTTGCTCCAATTGATTTATTGTCTTATTATGCACTTGGTCAAATGTACTCCAATTCCTCTTACATCTTGTGGCACTATGTGAGACTCAAAATTCCCATGGCCACCTTTTGTAACTCTTTACCGCTTCCACCATAACTCTCCCACCAAAGAGCTATCAAAACCAAAAAAGTGTAGTTAGTTTACAAAGTTAGTTATTATTAATTATTGTCTTTATGGTAATTATAAACAGTAAAAATTAAAGGGATACCCAATGTTTCTTATCTCTAGTAGCTATTGCCATGTTCAATCCAAACATCTCCTTAGCCCCACTGAACTTTTCTAGTTGTTGTTCCATTATAACTTTCGTCCTTGTATCTGGAACCATTCTTTGAAAAGTTTCATATAAACCAATCAACACCTCACTATCCTGATTGAAGTTCTTGTCATATGATATCTAACCAAATAGAAATAAATAAGCTACTAGACACAAATAAAATAGTAGTACTTAAAATGAAAGTTAGTTTTAAATAACTTACTTAGGATTGAGATAATAGGCAGCTGCATGAAGATGCCTATGAAGTTGCAAATTCCTCCTACTATCAATAATCTTCCACACTATTTTATATCTTGATTCTTGCATTTGAAAATTTTCAGCAATTTTCTCTTTAGCCCTGTCCATTGCTTCATAAAAATATGGCATGACTAGTTTCGAATCACCATCTACAAGCCTTAACACTTTTACGAGTAGAATCACACACTTTTGGAAATTTGTGATTGATATCCAAAATCTATCATCACTTAGCACTAGGTTTATAACTTGCTTAACCTCACTTTTACTACCATGTGGACTAGTAGCCCATTCCTCCGATGCAAACATAGATCTAAGAGCATTCTTTTGTTGTTTAATGCAATTTAGTGTAAGATAAGAAGTTGCAAATGTCACAGCCAGTCTTGCCAATTCCCTTCCCTTGGAATATTTTCTATACAAATTAAGGACCCATGTAAGCCTATATATGTTGGTAGTAATCTTATTTGCATTGGCAATGGTATTATATAATATTGGAAGCTCTACAATGTCCTCAAGGACTGGATCAAGGCAATGGGCTGCACATGGAGACCAAAATAATTTGGTTCTCTTCTCCATTAACAATTGTCCAGCTGCCACAAGATTAGAAGCCCTGTTTGTCACAACTTGGACTACTTGCTCCTCCCCAAATTCTTTGAAAATGCTGTCCAACAATTCAAACATTTTTTTCCCATCCTTTATCACGTCACTAGTATCAATGATTTAAATAAAAAAGTCCCACTTGGACTATTAGCAAGAAAATTAGTGAGTGATCTTCCTTTCCCATCAGTCCAACCATCACCCATCAAGGTGCATCTCCATTTCTCCCAATCACTTGTATATTTCTCTAGAATTTGTTGGATGTTGTCTACCGCTTTCTTCAAAAAAGAAACCCTCACCTCATGATAAGTTGGTGGCTTCAAACCTCTTCCATATTCTCCCACAACCTTTGACATTGGAGTAAGAGGACTCCTTACTAAATTAAATGGTAATGCATTACCATAGATGCATTTTCAAATTGTGTTGCGCATGACCCGACCTAGTGTGGGGGCACAACCTTCCGTTCCAAATTGTGCGGTACTGTTCTGAATTGCGATTTTTCTGATTCAAGCCATGATACATATGATTTGCATACGATTTTTGAACAAAAACAAGACAACGTGCATTTCAAATTGCTGGTCCTCAGAATCGTATCGCATCGTACGATATGAATTAATTTTGTGGGATACTTACTACCATGTTTTTGAGATCAATTAAGAAAAGAAAACCATTATTTTTTTTATGCATAATTATATTTTTATATGATTCTCTTTTCTATTTCTAAGCAATAAGTAATACAAATATGACATTTGAATAATTTTGTCCTGGACTCTGTTTAATTATGAAAACAAAGCATCTTTTCTTTTAGAAGAAAAAAAATCACAATAGAAGTAAACAAAGATGTTATATCCTTTTAAAAAATGAGGCATATACTGGTTTTGGTGGATGTGTTGTCTATGCTTTGTCAGAACTGATTATCATGTTTCAAATGCATTGCTTAATCTTAGAATTCTTTTACCATGATAATCTTTGATATCTTTGGTATATTTTTTGCTAAACATGGAAGTTTTCTTGAAATCAATTACCATTTTAAATACCCTTTTAATAAAGAGCTCAATTGGATTGAAAAAATGTTCCAATGAAATTTAGAATTTTAACAAGCACAATTCGAAGTGGAGGTAGAAAAATAGAGAGGGTCTTTTATTTTTGGAGATGTGTGTCCATCTGCTGTGTCATACAGTTTTCATTTCATGTTCATTGTGAATTATAATTGCTAAAAGTGATTAATGGACATGAAAAGAATGCATATGGATGTCATAACATGTTCCAGCAGGTGATAGTGTAAAGGCAGGTATGACTGAAAATTCAATTTAAAGTTTCAAATCTCAGAATGTTGTGGTTTGTCGTGCTTTCTGTTGGTGCAGGTGTATCTCAATGAATTCTCGTTTCATATTCAGCATGCTTCAGGTTAGAATCAACTCAACTCTTTTGTGGTTAATTCCTTTTGTGTTATGGTCAAACTTGATGTTGGTATAATAAACATTGTAGGCATTCGAACCTCCACTAGATATGAGCCAGGACGTAGAATTTAGTGAAGATCCACATCCTGAATTGGCTCAAAAAGATCATTTAGATTCTGAAGGGATTAATGCCTATTCATGTGAGTCAGCCCCTCTGAGAATAACATGTTCTGTAGCTGATCAACATGGTTGTGTGGAAGGTAGCAATCATGCATGCAGATCACATGCACTGGCACATCCCAATGAGGTTTCTGCGGCATTTATGATTCCATGATCCTTTTTATTCCAGTAGATATTAGATAAGAACTATGGTGTTTCATTGGTTCTATCATTGTATTTTTCATTTAGAAATTTGACTCTGTAGATAACAACAGGAGGTGGATGTTGAGAGTTGCCACCAGTCAAATACTGGGAGCCATTCTCCAAGCTTGATACATACTAAAGAGACTAGTGAATGTTTTGGAGGTCCTATTTCTGGTTCCAATGGCAATGTAATTCCTAGTCAGTTTTAATGTTGTAATTTTTAAATTTTTAGAATCACCATCTAAGTGGTTTGTTTGTTGTGCAAATAACTTGAGGTTAATTGATGCTAATGCTATGATATTTTTGAAAAAAATCTTCATACATTTCAAAGTAACAGAGTAAAACCAAAACTTCATATGTTGACACTTCTCTTTCACCGTACAAACCTTCTCTCTCTCAGATATATCTCTGCAAAATCAAAAGTATATGCATAACAATTAAGTCAATGACAACTGAGTCATGTTGCCTGTAGACAGTAATAACTAGCTTTCAATTCTCATTTGATTCATCTGTCATTTTCTTGTACTTTATGGGAAATGTAAGTACAAGGTATAATTCTGGATGGACATTTGAATTGTAAAGAAAGAATTCATTCAGTGTCCTTTTAGTGTGTTAATTCTATGTCAATTTCAAATTTCATGGCAATCCATAGATTTGTAGATTGTCTTCTAATAGAAATAATATTTTGTATATACTAAAAATGTTTTTTTCATCCATATTTGTCTACACCCCTTTTTGACATCTTTATTTCAGGTGCCGGACGCCTCATCACAGCAACAATGGCTGGATCCATCTCTTCAATTGAATGTTCCATTAGTTGATGTAGATAAGGTATATTTATGTTTCCAGCGTCATTCTTTTCAATTGTTACTTGTTCCAATGCAGGATAATGAAAGGGTTTGGGTTTTAAAGGGTAGAGGTTTTCTTGGATCAATCAATAGTACAACATAGATGGTGGTTGGACAACACCTATGAATTTATAGTATGGGGTTTGAGGGATTTTGGGTCATTTTCTTGAATAAATCCTTAATGTTGCCCATAATAAATCCTAATTTGGGCCATAGTAGTCAATCCCGGATAGCGGCGCGGAGCGGCCGACCCTAAAACTGGGATAGCGGGATGACGATGAGCGGGATAACCGCTATTTAAATATTAATTTATATATATTAAATAATTAATAATATATATATAAAAGCTAAAAAAACAAAAAAATAACTCTAAATTCATGCATTAAACATTTTTAATAATTAAAAGTTCATAGTACTCAAACAATACATAATATAAAATGTCTCCAAAACAAAGTGTTAAAGCTCTAAGTAAGTAAAAAATTAAACATTATA